ATAGATGTGACCCTGAGCGTCCTCCCTCTTATTAAGAAGGCCAGAGGCAGGGTGGTGAACGTCGCTAGCGTGTTTGGGCGAATCAGCCCGTTCGGCGGACCGTACTGTGTGTCCAAATACGGGGTAGAGGCTTTCAATGACAGCCTGCGGTGAGAGGAAAGACGTTTTCATGCTTTACATTTATTGTTATTCTCCTAACTATCTTTTTAACTTACAGCAACCTCTTCTGTATTTCAGTATAGACATGGCACCATTTGGAATTAAGGTTGCCTGCATTGAACCAGGCTTCTTTGCAACAAATATGACTGATGCAGCGAGTATGATGAATAACCTGAGGAAGCTCTGGGACCGATTGCCTCAGGATGTAAAGGACGACTATGGACACAGCTTCCTGGAGGACAGTGAGTCTCCATCTTTGTTAATTTTTATTAATAGATAATGCTAACTTTAAAAAAGCCTAAAGGTTCAGACATGTTAAATTTAAAACTGAGCAGCTTAAGACTGACACTCATCCTGAAGCTATCAGACTACTAAGTAGTACCTCCTTGACATTTTATTTTCCAGTTTTAATTTAAGACAAGTTCTTGGTCCTTTTGAGATGCTTTTATGTTTGTTTATTTTATCTTATTTTTCATTTTTCACTTATTTATTTCATCTTAGTAACCGTTGTCATGGATTTTGATTTATATATTATTTTTATACTTGATACTTTATTATATTGCAGTGGTTTTTATCCTGTTTTTATTTTTTCTGCCAAATTAATTTGATTGTCTGCGATCTATGTGTGGTTGTGGTGTTCTTAATTTGTTGAGTGGGAGCAAACACCAAGATAAATTCCTTGTATGCTTGTGTGAAGGCCTCTGTCCTGGCCGTCACCATCTGAGGGCCTAAACCAGCAATGGATTTGGGTGGCTATTTCTTTATGTGTGTAGGTTAAGTTGCAGATAAATATTTTTTGATATTAGACATACACAATTGATCAATGAGCATGCACATTTGATTTAATTTTGTATTGTTAATGTGTAAATTTTCTTTTGAGTTACCGTGTTTCCTGGTCCATGGATGCGGGGGGTCTTCAGCCAAAAGATTGATCTGAGGAAGCAGCAGGTTTAAATACTTCCCACTAGGCCTGGACTGCACCAAGTGCCTAATATAAGGAAGGGGGAGTTTGGGAGAAATGTATTGTTTATTTGTCAAGTTATGTTCATTTCTTCACATTTAAAGGAAATATTTAGTTGTGAGCAGACTGTCTGTTTAGTGTTTATTAGTTGATTATTTTGGTAGTGTGTTTAGTCTACCCCTTGTGTGTGTTATTGGTTTGGCCAGCCAATATATATGTTCCCCTGTGCGTGTCACTTGTTAGGTCAGTTGTTTTTTGTTGAGGTATTGGACAGTTCGGTTTGCTGTATTTTGAGTTTCCTTATCTTTTGTTGACCTCTTTTAGGGCCCAATTTATCTGATGTTAATTTTGTATTTTTTTTTATTTTTGGGTTAATAAAAAGCCCTTTATTTTGAACTTTGAACGCTATGTCTTCTGCCTTACTGCTTGGTTCCTGACAGGGATCAATAAAGTGCCTACCTACCT